CCAAAGCCTTTGACAGCGTTCCTCATGAGCGACTGCTTTTAAAATTGAAATGTAGCGGCATCGACGAATGTTTACTCAACTGGCTGAGACATTTTTTGGTGGGGCGCAAACAACGTGTAGTCGTTAGGGGATCTTATTCTGATTGGTCGTGCGTTACCTCCGGAACTCCACAGGGAACCATTCTCGGGCCCCTATTGTTTTTATTGTATATTAATGACATATCTGAATTCCTATCATCTACAGTAAAACTATATGCAGACGACACGAAGATCTACAGAGAGATAATTGACCCTATAAAAGATAGTCAGCTTCTTCAGGATGATCTTAATAATCTTAGCGCATGGGCTCGTAAGTGGCAGCTACGTTTCAACGCAGACAAATGCGAATCTATGCGAATCACGCATTTACGCGATAAGTCGGTAACTAATTATTTCTTAGAAAAGCCCCTGAAAGATGTGACTAATTTTAAAGATCTCGGTGTCACACTAACTAGAGATCTTTCATGGGGCCATCACATAAGTATCACTGTCAATAAAGCGAACAAAGTTTTAGGTTCCATTAAACGCTCAGTAGGCACCGCTAACACAAATGTTTTTTCTATGCTGTACATGTCTCTGGTACGGCCAATCTTGGAATATGCGGTACCTGTTTGGTGTCCTTACCTTGTTAAGGACATCCATGCCCTTGAAAATGTACAGCGAAGAGCCTCAAGACTCGCTTTAAATCAACGCAAAGGAGAAATGTCCTATGAAGACCGATGCAAACTGTTAAAATGGCCCACTCTCTCTGACCGTAGAACTTACTTATCTTTAGTCGAATGTTATAAGATAGTTTTTGGTTTTTATCATTTAAATTTTGAAGACTTCTTTGATATTGCCACGATTCGGTCTACGAGAGCAAATCATCAATACAAACTCTATATTAAACCAGCTAGACTTAATTGTTACAAAAATTCTTTTTTTATTAGGATTGTCAAATTATGGAACGAGTTACCGGGTGATATAGTGGAAGCTGACAGCTTTCAGCATTTTAAATCTAAACTTAAATCGTACTTAAATATTTGATTGTAATGATTTTGATTCATATTTTGTCTTTTCTTTTAAGGGAGTTTTTACACAGGGATAACCTCTTAACTTCCTTTTCTAGAAGTATTTTCTTTTTAGTTTTATTTGTATATAATAGTTATCATCTGCTTCTGGAATAAATAAAGTATGTATGTATGTATGTATGTAAAAAAATTCTGTATTACAGAAAGGTCGGAATCTGAGGCACCATAAACCGGCAGAGCGTAAGAAAAATTTGGTAAAACTATTGCGTTAAAAAGGTGATCTGCTTCCTCCTGGGACATTCCTTCCTTACGTAAAGATCCTAATACGAATAATGACTTGTTCGCCTTAATTACCTTCGCGCGCACGTGACTACTGCATTTACAATTTTGTTGGAAGGTAACACCTAATATGGATAACTCTGCGCACTGCAGTATATTACTAACTGGCGCGATGTCCTGACTGGAATGATGATTTCTACTTCAAACCTAACGTCCACTATTTTAGAGAGACTAAAAGTATTTGTTTAAAATTCAATTCAAGATAAGAGCGCGTTTAGTTGATAGAAAACCCGGGTTCTGGCCCATTCTCAAACAATTCAGAAGTCTCTTGAAGTTTTTTTACATTCTCCATTATCTCTCTTTCTCAGCTAACTCCTGTGAAGTGAGATATTGGAATAAGCTACGACATATGAGAGGAGGTGAGTAATGTAAAAAATATTTAAGAGACTTCATGGATTTTTCGAAAAAAGGCAAAAATCCTTCTTTTCTATCTTCTCATTATGTGGTTGTTACAGAAGAATGGACATGTTTGTTTGTTGATAAAGTCGTACTAAAGAACTAAAGAACACTGAACATCCCACGCTGGAAATGTTAACTGATTGTACACAATTTAGTTTCCCGCGCCTCGCAAATATTTGAAGGGTAATAAACACCGATAGCCTCCATTTGGCGAAGAAATATGCTCTTAAATTTATCCTTGAACATTATTTGTTCCTCGAAGTTCACAGTTTTCTTCGAGTTTCGTTCTCTGAAAACTTCGCATTTTGGAACAGATAATGTCTACGGACAAATTCGCACCAAACGGGGGCTAGTGTTCATACAGTTATCTGTATTATGTATTACAATAATTTCTTCGGCAAATAAGTGTTCTTTACGGGTTCTCGTATTTGATGTAATTTTAGTGGCGGAGCTATAAATGACAATAAGGGAATTTTCTAGTTTTTTCCTTTTTACAGGCCGCATTCCGCCTGATCAACTCGTGATCTCGTCGTTTGGTATTTAACGCCCCCAATTTTTTTACTGTAAACCCCTTCGCTGGGGTTCACTGTCTCTCGCATTCTACAAATCTCCCCTGAAAAGATTCTACACGATTGATTATTTATTACTCAAAACAGGCAGTAAGGAATATTACTAATAAGATCTTGGCAGTGTAAGGCCTAGGGATTGCAGTGTTTTGGAACTTTGTCGTAACATTTGCATTTTACAACAGCCATTTCATTGTTGTGCTGGACTCAGCCATCCGGATGAGTGCTTTTGATTCTTTGGTAAAAGGTGATTGACGTATGATTGTCTTCGATCGCGTGATCTGACAGACGACTCCTTAATTCTCGAAGCATCGCAGCATTGCAAAGCAACACTGAGCAATTCATTTGTTGATATGTAGAAAATGAGTTTTGGGACCAGAAGCACGGGTAGGAGACAGACGATTTGAAGAACAACCTTCAACTTGAGGTATTTGGTGGAGAATCGAAACCGAGAGGTTTTATTTGATTGAATTGAACTCACATCAGTTTTTTCCGACAGCTGTTGGTCGAATCGACTTCAAGCGTTGAGTGACACATCCTGTCTATTTCAGGAGAGAGGCCCAAGGCTAAAGGTAAGAAGAATGCTTTTAACAAACCATCGTAAAATACTTATGTGGGGACATTTACGAATTGCACATAAGGAAATGCACGGTGTCATTAATCCTTGTGACAGCTTCTCATGTAGTTCTTTAAACTCAGCAAGCCTATTTGTTTGTGTAAGCTAAATGTTACCGTGGGTAAAATCTGAATTTCGAAAGTAGTTTTTTTTGTCTGACTTATAACGCAAACATGCTTGAGTCAAAGTCTTTGTCACTCTTCGGTTAATTCGATGTTTACTGCATAAGTTAACAGAGCAATTTTGGTGCTTATTTGTAAAAAAAAAAATTGTAGTTTGTAAAAAGCTCCATCAATTGCAAGTGGGAGACCTTGCACCCTTATAATGAAATGTTATTATCCGCGTCCTTTGTTAAGAGTCTTGAAACATGTTTTGTTGTTACTTTTTGATCTTCAAACGCGTCTACATCCTACATAATTCAAACATTTCACTCAAGAATAGGTTAAAAATATGGAGCAAGTAGAACGAGGAACATTCCACTGAGATTTAGTTCGCGTGAACAGACTAACGGCCCAACCTCAACCAACAACAAGATGGCGGTTGACAGTTTGAGGTTCCCTGTACATGTTAACTTGTCATTTTTTTATCTAGAAATCCATTCCTTCCACGAAGATACCACAGTGAACACTGAGTAACGAAGGTCATTGCGAAGGTAAGTTTATAATCCCCTGAGTCTATAAATAAGGAAACATTTACGCCTACATGCAGTTGATCACATTAAATTAGTATATCACATAAAAGGAGAAATTGAGTCACTCAACAAATATTGTAATGATTACTTTCATTCTTTCGTTCTATCTCCCTGTTTTGGGGCTGAACAATGCACGCCTGACTCTTTCCGAGAATCGATAGATCCATACGAACTGTACATTGACTCACATTTATCGCTTAAAACAGACAGAAAGGAATATTACTGATGAGATCTTGGCAGTGAAAGACCGAGGGATTGCAGTATTTTGGAACTTTGTCGTAACATTTGCATTTTACAACAGCCATTTCATTGTTGTGTTGTACTCAGTCATCCGGATGAGTGCTTTTGATTCTTAGTACAATGTGATTGACGTAAGATTGTCTGTATACATGGTCGCTTGATCTAACAGACGACGCCCCAGTTCTCGAAGCATCGTATCATTACAAAGCAACACTGGATCGACGGACGCGAACTAAATGCAGCGTCTTTAAAATTCGTTAAGAGCAATTGACTTGTTGACATGTAGAAAATGAGTTTTGGGGCCAGAGGTACGGGTACGAGACAGACGATTTGAAGAACAACCGTCAACTTGAGTTATTTGATGGAGAATCGAGAGCGAGGGGTTTCATTTGATTGAATTGAACTCATATCAGTTTTTTCCGACAGCTGTTGGTCGAATCGACTTCAATCGTTGAGTGGCACATCGTGTCTATATCAGAAGAGAGGCTCAAAGCTTAAGGTAAGAAGAACGATTTTAACAAACCATCGTAACATAATTATGTGGGGACATTTACGAATCGCACATAAAGAAACGCACACCGTCATTAATCCTTATCACAGCTCCCTATGCAGTTCTTTAAACTCAGCAAGCTTATTGGTTTGTGCAAGCTAAATATTTACTGTAGGTTAAAATCGGAATTTCGAAATTTTTTTTTTTGCCAGACGTATAACGCAAACATGCTAGAGTCAAAGTCCACGTCATTTCTCAGTTAATTCGATGTTTACTGCATAGTTTTATAGAGTAATTTCGGTGCTTAAGGCCTTTCACTGAAACCATTGGTTAGGGTAGGATAGGGAAGGATGGCTTAAGGACGCTTCAGCTTAAAGTGTAAGTAAAATATGACACTCATTAGGTATCGTGTTTGCCATAAGCTCCATCACTTGCAAGTGGGAGACCTTGCATCCTTATAATGAAACATATATGAAACAAGTAGAGCGAGGAACGTTCCACTGAGATTTAGTTCGCGTGAACAGACTAACGGCCCAACCTCAACCAACAACAAGATGGCGGTTGACAGTTTGAGGTTCCCTGTACATGTGAACTTGTCATTTATTTTATTTAGAAAACTATTCTTTCCACGAAGATGCAATAGTGAACACTGAGTAAAGAAGGTCATTGCGAAGGTGAGCCTATAATCCTCTGAGTCTTTAAAGAAGAGAAACATTTACGCCTACATGTAGTTGATCACATAAAATTAGTACGTCACATAAAAGAACAAATTGAGTCCCTCAACAAGCATTGAAGTAATTACTTTCATTCTTTCGTTCTATTTCCCTATTTTGGGGCTGAACAATGCACGCCTAACTCTTCTGAGGTTCCCTGTACATGTTAACTTGTCATTTTTTTGTCTAGAAGTCCATTCCTTCTGCGAAGATACAAAAGTAAACACAGAATAACGAAGGTCATTGCGAGGGTAAGCTTATAATCCCCTGAGTCTTTAAATAAGGGAACATTTACGCCTTCATGCAGTTGATCACATAAAATTAGTGCGTCACATAAAAGAACAAATTGAGTCCCTCAACAAGCATTGACGTGATTTCTTTCATTCTTTCGTTCTATCTCCCTGTCTTGGGGCTGAACAATGCTCACCTGACTCTTTCCGAGAATCGATAGATCCGTACGAACTGTACATTGACTCACATTTATCGCTTAAAACAGACAGTAAGGAATATTACCGATGAGATCTTGGCAGTGAAAGACCGAGGGATTGCAGTATTTTTGAATTTTCTCGTAACATTTGCATTTTACAACAGTCATTTCATTGTTGTGGTGCACTCAGTCATCCGGATGAGTGCTTTTGATTCTTTAGTATAATGTGATTGACGTAAGATTGTCTGTATACGTGGTCGCTTGATCTGACAGACGACGCCCTAGTTCTCGAAGCATCGTATCATTACAAAGCAACACTGGATCGACGGACGCGAACTAAATGCAGTGTCTTTAAAATTCGTTAAGAGCAATTGACTTGCTGACATGTAGAAAATGAGTTTTGGGGCTAAAGGCACTGGTACGAGACAGACGATTTGAAGAACAACTTTAAACTTGAGGTATTTGATGGAGAATCGACAGCGAGGGGTTTCATTTGATTGAATTGAACTCATATCAGTTTTTTCCAACAGCTGTTTGTCAAAACGACTTCAAGCGTTGAGTGGCACATCGTGTCTATATCAGAAGAGAGGCTCAAAGCTTAAGGTAAGAAGAACTCTTTTAATAAACCATCGTAAAATAATTATGTGGGGACATTTACGAATTGCACATAAAGAAACGCACACCGTCAATAATACTTGTCACAGCTTCCAATGCAGTTCTTTAAACTCAGCAAGCTTATTGGTATGTGTAAGCTAAATATTACTGTGGGTTAAAATCTGAATTTCGAAAGTAGTTTTTTTTGCCTGGCGTATAACGCAAACATGCTAGAGTCAAAGTCCACGTCACTTCTCAGTTAATTCGATGTTTACTGCATAGTTTTATAGAGTAATTTCGGTGCTTAAGGCCTTTCACTGAAACCATTGGTTAGGGTAGGATAGGGAAGGATGGCTTAAGGACGCTTCAGCTTAAAGTGTAAGTAAAATATGACACTTATTAGGTATCGTGTTTGTCATAGGCTCCATCACTTGTAAGTGGGAGACCTTGCATCCTTATAATGAAACGTTATTATCCACGTCCTTTGTTAAGAGTCTTGAAACATGTTTTGTTGTTACTTTTTGATCTTCAAACGCGTCTATATCCTACATAATTCAAACATTGCACTCAAGAATAGGTTAAAAATATGGAGCAAGTAGAACGAGGAACATTCCACTGAGATTTAGTTCGCGTGAACAGACTAACGGCCCAACCTCAACCAACAACAAGATGGCGGTTGACAGTTTGAGGTTCCCTGTACATGTTAACTTGTCATTTATTTTATCTAGAAAACTATTCTTTCCACGAAGATGCAGCAGTGAACACTGAGTAACGAAGGTCATTGCGAAGGTGAGCCTATAATCCCCTGAGTCTTTAAATAAGAGAAACATTTACGCCTACATGTAGTTGATCACATAAAATTAGTACGTCACATAAAAGAACAAATTGAGTCCCTCAACAAGCATTGAAGTGATTACTTTCATTCTTTCGTTCTATCTCCCTGTTTTGGGGCTGAACAATGCACGCCTAACTCTTTCCGAGAATCGACAGACCCAAACGAACTCTACATTGACTCACATTTATCGCCTTAAACAGACAGTAAAGAATATTACTGATGAGATCTTGGCAGTGAAAGACCGAGGGATTGCAGTATTTGGAACTTTGTCGTAAAATTTGCATTTTAGAACAGCCATTTCATTGTTGTGTTGCGCTCAGTCATGCGGATGAGTGCTTTTGATTCTTTAGTCTAATGTGATTGAAGTATGATTGTCTGTGTAGATGATCACTTGATCTGAGAAACGACGCCCTAATTCTTGAAGCATCGCCTCACTACAAAGCAACTCTAGATCGACGGACGCTAACTAAATGCAGCGTCTTTAAAATTTGTTAAGAGCATTTGACTTGTTGACATGTAGAAAATTATTTTTGGGGCTAGAGGCACGGGTACGAGACAGACGATTTGACGAACAACCTTCAACTTGAGGTGTTTGATTAAGAATTGAAACCGAGTGCTTTATTTGATTGAATCGAATTCATATCAGTTTTTTCCAACAGCTGTTAGTAAAAACGATTTCAAGCGTTGTGTGACAGACTGTGTCTATATCAGGAGAGAAGTTCAAAGCTAAAGGTAAGAAGAATGCTTTAAACAAATCATTGCAAAAGAATCATGTGGGGACATTTACGAATCGCACATAAGGAAACTTACCGCGTCAATAATACTTGTCACAGCTTCCCATGCAGTTCTTTAAACTCAGCAAGCTTATTGGTATGCGTGAGCCAAATTTTACTGTGGGTAAAATCTGAATTTCGAAAGTGGTCTTTTTCTGTCTGACATATAACGCAAACATGCTTCAGTCAAATTTGTTTTCGAGAATTGATGAAAGCGGATATCGAGGGTGAAATGGTCTGAAATGGAAAGACTTGGAAAATATTCCTGAGCGATTTGTCTTCTTTGCTGCATTGTTAAAATGAACGTGATTTCCTTGCACGATTTAAAGATGTAATAAGTATTAGGATACAAGCGTCTGTCATGATATTGTAGTTTTCGGTCAGTCGGATTTTTAATTGGAAATGTGAGACAAGGAATTGGAAGTATGGAGTCTGGACTGGGAATTAAGTATAGGGGAGGGGGGGAGGAGGGCCAAGAAAGTCAGTTTACTTCAGTTTATAGCTTGTTCTTCATGCAGGCTGCAATTATTGCACATAATATTTGTTCAGGCTTTAAGGCATTCAAACTAATCAGAAAAAAGAAATACATTTGAGAGCGGCATATCTACCTACAGTATAAATTCTTGCAGTATGTTTATGTATTTGTACATGCCATTTATCATACTAAAATCATATATCATTTATCATACTAAAATCAACATTTACTTCAATAACCAACATGTACATATTGAAATATGCCATAATATTTACCCTGGAGTCCAATCCTCTAAGACTTAAAAATTACCACATAATCAATATGCATTCAAAAGCCAGATGGACGATTTTATCGGAAAACGTCGCATTTTGGAACAGATGATGTCTGCGGACATATATCCGTTGAACTCGTTGATATTTTCTCATCAAACGGGGGCTAGTGTTCATACAGTTATCTGTCATGGGTGACTATAGTTTCTTCAATGAATAAGTGTTCTTCACGTCTCCTCGTATTTGATGTAACCTTAGTGACGGAGCTGTATCTGACAACAGAGGAATTTTCCGAAATCAGTTTTCGTCTTTTCATAGGCCGCATTCTGCCTGATTAACTCGTGATCTCATTGTCTGTTATTAAACGCTAACAATTTTTTTAAGGAAACCCCTCCGATGGGGTTAATTGTCTCTAGCACTCTACAAATCTCCCTCGAATAGATTGCACGCGATTAATTGCTGGCATCATTTGCGCAAACTAGACCCTGTGAGCAGGGTAACTGGGATACCTGGATGGTACTGGATCCTTGGAATCAATTGTAGCGATAATACGGGTGTCGGACTAGTATACTGAAATAGTGCGCTCAAGTCTGGCCAAGGGCATACACCTATTTCAAAACATAGGCATGCTATGCATGCAAGAGTTATTTTTTGTAGGGTGGGTGGATTACTTGAAACATTGTAAGTGGTCTACATTCTTACAAAAGGAAAGAAGAGTATTAACGCGGAAAGGAACAAAAATGTCGAATTACCTCACACACAGGTATTTTGTGGTAGATTGTGTGTTGTGCAAATAAATGTAACCAAAAATAAACTGTATTGGTGCCACGGATACCTGTTAGTACCAAAATGCAGACAGCAGACTGCAGACCGGATACAAAATATAGACTGAAGACTGCAGAGTGGGTATAAAATGCAGACTGAGAATCTGAAGAGTTTTTACGTCTGGTAAATAATAACATGTCTTATTGTTTTTTTAGAGGGCACGGTAACGAATCCTGCAATCTGATTGGTTCTTTACCCGGTCAGTATTTTCCTATCTCTGCCCACGGGCCACAGTAACGCTTTCTTGAGTCGCCGAGTACATTCCAAATTTCGTTGTCATTTTTTCATAAATATACCTCGTTTTGCCCGCTGGGCAGTATTTTTAAGCAAACACATCGGTCACTACCTCAAGCCGATAAATAACTTATGAATCCTCTCTTTTCTCTCTATCAAATCACTTTGGTTGACAGAAAAATATTGGTTTCAGAATGAATTTGAATAAACAATAGTGTCATTACGTTGGTTGACAAGCGGCCTAAAAACCGTCTGCAATTAATTTTAATCGTTCACAAAAAGTACATAGAAAGTTAAAACGTAAAGTGTTTGGTTACAGTTAAACTGAACGATGGAACTTTCATTCATTTAATATCTGAATTTTCTCGAGCAATTTGTTCATAGTGGAAGAGCGAGCGAAGTTTTAATTTAAGTTCTACAACAAATATACGCTCCCGGTGAGTCTTTCCAATTCCGTTCAATTTAGACATTTGTACCGTAAATTGCACAACAGAAATTGAAGGAATTTTTGGAGTAAAGGCCGCATTAAATTCCTTTGTGTCTCGTTGGAGTGTGCCGTTCGAATTTATTTTTGTGAAGGAAATACCAGAGTCACACACGCCATTGCAGCAAACAAACGAGCAAACTCTCACAACTTCAAAATAAAAAAAATTGAATTTACTCACAATTACTTTACTCGCCGTTTACTTAATGAACAGAGGTAAATCTTCGTACATGAATGAATGGTCGATGAGAGTGAATAATACTTTCCGTTAGATCACTGACTGATTTTGAAGAAGACATTGTCGTGACAGCCCTTGCCAAACTAGTTCTGATGTTTTTCAAATGTTCCTACGCTTTTTTTTTCTTGCGCGCTCTCTAATTGACAGGTGTCAGATTGTGGCAGATACTTGTAAAAATAATGTTTCAAAGTTTGTTTGGAAGCCTTTTAAATCATCTTTATCGTTACGGAAATGAAAATGTTTCGCTGAGGCATCTCTCTTTAATTTGCATCACCGCTATTTTAACTACCATTTACTCACTCAAAAATTGTTCAGTTTATGGAAGATCTTGCCGTATTTACTGCCCTAAATCATTCGGGTTCTTTCGGAAAGAATTTCGTCAAGTTTAAAAAACAATAAATATGTTATTTACCGGCTAAAGGTCGGTCCGTATGGTGAAAAACTGTGACCTCGGTCTTGAAAATGCTGCCCTCGGCCTACGGCCTTGGACAGCGTTTTCAAGGCCTCGGTCACAGTTTTTCACCAGACGGACCTCCCAGCCGGCAAATAACATATATATCTTACAGCTTACCGAGCGTCACGCAATCGCTTTTCCTCGATCAGCCTTCACGATTATTTGCACTATTGTGGAAAATTCCTGGCCCATTTCTTGATGAAAATCGATCGTAATATAATTTCAAGCCTTCAATATACTCTTCTTACTTTGTGCGCGAGTTGGTTTGTGTGATGTCTGTACAGATTTTACCAACGTAATAAAAGTAGATGATGTGTATAACAGTGATGGTTAAGCAAGCTTAAAACGGCAGAAATCATCAGAAACTACAACGGATACACAGTTCGCGACTCAATCCGGTCCAAAATTACCGCTCAATAACATCTTTTAGTGTGGATTGGCGCGAACAATACGACTTGTGTAAGCGTCTGTAAGTATTTCGAGCGTTTGCGCTATAATGCTTCAGGTGATCGTAATCCAAACACGTTGAAATACAAAACGACCGACAAAAGAGTTTTCTAAGCAAAAATCTCGTGCTCGTCATGTGACCCGGACCTGTCCGTGCATGACAACGTCAATCATCATCAAGATAACACGTGATCAGCATGTGAACACCTTCACCCTCATTGGATCACAGTTAGTTGTCATGGTGTTGAGGGCCCAATGACCACTGGGTACTATTGCGCAATTTTTCCATTTTGTGGCGGAGGAAAAAAAACTAGACCCTGTGAGCAGGGTAACTGGGATACCTGGATGGTACTGGATCCTTGGAATCAAGTGTAGTGATACTACGGGTGTCGTATTAGTATACTGAAATAGTGAGCTCAAGTCTGGCTAAGGGCATACACCTATTTTAAAACATAGGCATGATATGCATGCAAGAGTTATTTTTTGTAGGGTGGGTGGATTACTTGTGGTCTACATTCTTACAAAAGGAAAGAAGAGTATTAACGTGGAAAAGAACGAAAATGTCGAATTACCTCACACACAGGTATTTTGTGATAGATTATGTGTGTTGTGCGAATAAATGTAACCAAAAGTAAACTGTATTGGTGCCACAGATACCTGTTAGTACAAAATGCAGACAGCAGACCGGATACAAAATATAGACTGGAGACTGTAGAGTGGGAACAAAATGCACACTGAGAATCTGAAGAGTTTTTACGTCTGGTAAATAATAACATGTCATCTTACAGCTTACCGAGCGTCACGCAATCGCTTTTCCTCGATCAACCTTCACGATTATTTGCACTATTGTGGAAAATTCCTGGCCCATTTCTTGATGAAAATCGATCGTAATATAATTTCAAGCCTTCAATATACTCTTCTTATTTTGTGCGCGAGTTGGTTTGTGTGATGTCTGTACAGATTTTACCAACGTAATAAAAGTAGATGATGTGAATAACAGTGATGGTAAAGCAAGCTTAAAACGGCAGAAATCACCAGAAACTACAACGGATACACAGTTCGCGACTCAATCCGGTCCAAAATTACCGCTCAATAACATCTTTTAGTGTGGACTGGCCGCGAACAATACGACTTGTGTATGCGTCTGTAAGTATTTCGAGCGTTTGCGCTATAACGCTTCAGGTGATCGTAATCCAAACACGTTGAAATACGAAACGACCGACAAAAGAAAATCTCGTGCTCGTCATGTGACCCGGACCTGTCCATGCATGACAACGTCAATCATCATCAAGATAACACGTGATCAGCATGTGAACATCTTCACCCTCATTGGATCACAGTTAGTTGTCATGGTGTTGAGGGCCCAATGAACTCTGGGTACTATTGCACAATTTTTCCATTTTGTGGCGGAGGAAAAAAAAAAAAAAAAGACGACAAAAAAACAAAGGCATTTTATGACTGGGCTACCACAGGTATCCCAGTAAAAAACTAGACCCTGTAAGCAGGGTAACTGGGATACCTGGATGGTACTGGATCCTTGGAATCAACTGTAGTGAT